TTAAGTGTGATATTTTTATAATATTATGTATAATATTATAAAATAATAATCTATATATTTATATACATGTTTATGTTTTAATTAAAAAAATTTGCATACTATGTTATTACTTCAATATGTGTATTTTATTTAATTTAGTAACATTTTATTTATGACTTATATTATTTTACATTTATAATTGTAATAATAACAATTATATTTACAATAAAAAAAAATTTATTTTCGATGTAAATTTGATGAAACTTTATCATAAATGATTTGATTGCTATTTATATTAGTTGTAGCTAAAGTAATTAAAATTTTAATAACTTTAATAAAATCTTTAATGCATACATTTTATTATCAGTATAGCTGGCATAGCCTAATTTTTTATTATTGTTAAAATATAATTAAAATTTCTGGAAATGAAACTTATTTTAAATTTTACTTTTTTTATTTGACTACCATACCATTGATTATATACCTTTCAAATTCAATATTTATTTAGTCGATATTTAATTCATTCTTTAATATTAAATGATTTTATACTGTAGATATCAATGTTAATAAAAATACAATAAAGCTTTGTTATATAATAATTTTGTCTTTAATTTATTGAAATACAATTAAATTTTGTACAAATGGAAAATATACTTATATTTTTAAACAAGTCTAATTTATCACACTATAAGTCTTTTTATTCTCTTATTTTCTTCATAACTCGTCAAGTGTTCTATTGAATAATGAAAATGACTAAAAAATTATTAAAAATAAATAAAATTGAATTTTTAATTATGATTTAACTATTTTGACTAAAATTGAATATGTACTATTATTGACTTCAATTTGAACATTCTCCATAATATGGCACATAACAAACAAACAACATAACATATATATATATATATATAACTTAACGTATATAACATATAACAAATGTATTTTAAATAAAAAATGTTCTTAATTTTAATTCTTACCCTAGAATAATTGTTATTTTATAAGCGGAATGAAAAATTAAATACCTCATAGCCAATCATACATTCTACTGAATAAATATGAATGCTAGAATATATCTTCTATTTATTTGTGATGTTTTAATTAAAGAAATTAATTACATATTATCTTTATATAGAATCCGAATTTATTTTTAATTCACTACAACGTTCCAATAACCAAATTTAATAAAAAAACATCTATCTAATAATGAGTACTCAAATTATTATGTATGTTTCTTTTATCTTGTAGACAAAAAAATATATAATAAATCACTGGCAATGTTTTAAAAAATTTCTATTATTAATTTTAGTATTAAATAATTCTTTATCTTCATATATGAAGGATATAAATTACGAACTCAAATTTTGCAAATGTAAATTAAAGAAAAATATATAAATCTTATTTCAATTTATACAATATTAAAATATTCATATCAATTAAAATTGTAAAAAAGTGTTCTACAATTAATACCTTTGTGTATCTAAACGATTATATTATAAAAAATTATGATTGTATGATTAATTATAAATTAAAATGCATATACATTTATGTGATTAAATGTAGTTAATATTACTCTTTAAATAAATAAAGTCGTATTTAATACCTGTGTCAGAATGTTATAATAATACTTAAACATTTTTGTTTATTAATTACTATTTAAAATCTACTATTTATTATTAATTCTATATAATTTTAATATTCTAAATGTATGATTTTAGAAAATAATTATTGTTTTCATTTTTATAAATGTTCATAAAATAATTTTATTTTTTAATAATTGTGGTGAATGTTTATTTCATAAAAATAGCATCCCTAAACAATCTATACCTATTTTTTCTATTATTTATTCTTGATAAGATATTAATTATTTTTATAAGTATTTTTATATCTTTCAAACTAATTAAAGTTTTCATTATTATTACTATTAAATATTGATACATGTGTAATTTAATTTTGATTAACATCTATAAATTAACAAATTAATTTTTAATAACCATAATGAAATATTCAATTAATTAATGCAATAATTTAAATATTCTTAAATTTTATTTCTAATTTGAAATTGACTTATGTACTTATATATAACTGAAATAATTTATTATAACGAATAACACATACAATTTTTTAAATATTTTTTATACAGATTAGACAATATTTTGTTTGAAAATTAAAAAATAATAATTAATAATAAATACCATCCGTAGAAGATATTATAGATTGAAATTTGACATATGCTAGAATGAAAAGACACTTAAAAAATATGATAGAATTATAATGTATTTCATTTTTTCTTTCTTATTTTTATTATATGTAAATGAGTTATTGAATTTGTTCAATTGATATATATATATCTATATATATATATATATATATATATACATGTTTAATTGTAAATATTCATTCAATTTAAGCTATTTTTCGTAAGAAGAAACATTTAATATATATATATCTATATAAATAAACACTTATAAATTCATAGAAAAAGAAAAATAATGTAAAGTAATAATAGAATTTTTAGTCACTGATTTAATAAAATTATAAATAATATTATTATGAAAATAATCATTTTATGTAATGAACTTTTATTTAATAGTATATTGAATTAAAAAAAAGAATTAACTATTATATAATACTATAAATTACTATATACTAATCAATATACTAATCAATTATCAAAGTATAAAGAGTTAAATATATTTAAAATGTATTCAACAAATTCGAATTACATTTTATGATTGTTGTAATATAAAATCAAATACAAGATACTTTAATGCTGCATATTCCATTTAAAAGAAATTAGAATTTTAATTAACCTACCTCATAATGTTCATTTAAATAAAAAAATTTTATAAAAAGGATCACAGATTGAAAAACTTTCAAATTCAAATTTAATTAATATTCTTTTTTATAAAATTATTACATATTATAAGATTTAATGAATAAAATAAATATTGTTTTGACTTTCTTATGCCATGCTAAAAATTAAATAATAATTAGTATTTCGTTTATAAATCAAATAATTAGTCTGATTTTTATTGTTGAATAGGGTATATACATGGGCAAAGTTAACATATTAATCTTCATCTATTTATTCGAATTAATTTATTCCTATATTAACTTATCTATTTATTCTGAATCACAAAAAGTTTTACATATAAAATATTTATGTGAACAATGTTTCACAACAAATTCTAAATAGTAGTTATTACTACATTAGTAATTTAATTTTTTATATAAATAAATAAATATTTAAATGCATAATAAGAAATATTAAACCATTTCTGAAAGTATGCGCACCACTATCATTTTGTTTCATTCAATACCTTTTTGTCTTTTAAACTTTACTATTTCTTATTTATTGAATTTATATATTTAAAGTGGTTTTATTATTCAAAAGTTAATAATGAATCAACAATGTTTTTAATAATAAAATATATATTCATTATATTAATTTATTTTAATATTGATTCTGAACAAAGCATCTTACAGAGTTTTGTTATTAATCAAATATATTTATCGTGTAATCTTAATACCTAAAGTAAATTAATTTTAGCTGTGAAATTCATATTTGAATATTATCTAATATTATTATAACTTATTAACTTCATGAATTTTTACAAAATTAATTTCTTTACTTATCTACATCAACTTTATACTTTTTATTTACGTATTCTTTATTATTTGAATATATAATTAACATTGAATTTTTTTAATTTAGTAAATTTTAATCTTTTCTATTTTTAATTTTTATTTTAATATTTTTATTAAACTGTAGTTTTTCTAATTAAATACATCATTTCACTTGAATTTATCGATTTTGTTTATAACTATTGTATTTTCATTTTATCCTTTTATTTAATAGAACAATTTTTCATATGTTCTTTTATAGTTAGTTAATTATTTCATTTCCCAATGTTTGACGGTAATCTGAATTGAAAATTAAATTAATATTTGTTTATTTTATGTTGCTCCATTTTTTATTTAAATTTTAATTTCATTATAAGAAGACTTCGTCACACTGAATTCTCTGTACTAAATTTTGCTTATATGTCAATTATTTCTTCTTTATTCACTAATAAATAGCTTTTAATTTTATATTTCAATTTCTTCTCATTTATTTAATAATTTTTTTTTTATTTCTATCTATATTATTACGTTATTATTTACTTATATTTGTATTATTAATCTAAGTATTTTTCTCATGTATTGGCAATTAAATTAAAAAATAAATTAAATTAAATTAACATATTAAGCGTTATACACATACAAATTTCTTTCCAAGTATAGACCATTTTTTTAATTTTGAAAACTCGCAATGTTTTCTGTTTATCACAATTTTAAAAAATTTTTCTTTTTATAGTAAAGACACCAAGGTACTTTCTCTTTTTTTTATTTTATAATTAAATCACTTTTATCCTATGTAATATTGATATTTTATATATAACATGAATTTTCTGAATAATTTATCTTATAATTTTAATTATTTTAAATTACATACTTCCAAATTGTTTAATACCTATCCCTTTCTCGTCTATGTAAAAATAGATCATTTTGTAGGTTTTAAAAATGAATTTAATTCTTATTGCTATTTAATTAACTTAATAAGCATATTTCGTTGTATATAAATATAAATATTTATCATATATAATCGAATTTTAAATGATATAAAAAGAACATTGCATTTATCAAAGATTTATAGTCAAATATACAGATAATTTGTCGATTTAAAAGATCTTATATTAAATAGAAAAAAATTTTCAAATTTAAATTACAAATATTTGTAAGTTTTAGAAAAATTTATAAATATTATATTAGATGTACAATAAAATCAAATTGTCATAATTCTAAATATTTTTATTTTCAGTAATAACCTTAAAAAACTTTCACATTTTAAAAACCATTATATTCTATTTTTATAAATTAAACTTTTAGTTTCTGTACCTGTAACAGTTTTTAATTTAAAAAAATATAACTTAATCTAAATAACAATTTTTACAGTTATTCCGGGTAATGTTAAATTTGGTCTTTTTTACATTTTTAATTAATATAAGTCAGTGTCAATTGACTGAAATATTTTATATTTTTCTTAGTATGGAGTATGAACTGATAAGATCAGCAAAGTTATAATGTTTTCACTGCTAAATGTTTGGTTCAGTAAAATTTAAATATATCTCTGCAAGTAAATAACATATTGTTCAATTTTGTTACTTAACAGGGATATTATGACTGTGTTGATCAAATTCTAGTGCTTTTTTCCTTTTCAAAAATTCTATCTGTTTTACCGCTACTTCTAATTCATATAAATGATGGTCATATACTTTTGGCGCTATTGTACGCATAGCTGCTGCTAGATTATATAAATACTCAGTGTTATGACCACTATTGCCAGCACATTCTGCTATATGACCAGCTATTGTATCGATATCTTCATATCCTGCAAAATTCGGATTACATTTATGTCCTATATAAATAAACAAATGAAATGGTTTTTCCACTAGTTGTGAATGATTGACTGGATGGAAAAGAACATCTTTTTTCTCGTAATTTGTTTCCCGATAATCAAGATGTCGTGTTACACTTTCAATATTTTCACTGGCTATTTCATAGGCACATCCCCAAACTTCATCTTCTTCATTATTGGAAACTAGAAGAGTAACTACTCTTCCTGGCTAAAATACAATATTATAAATATTAATAAAAAATTGAGCAAAATCCGATTTAAATTACAAAGTAAGTAAAGTTACAATTAATGAATTGATTAAAAATTTAATATTTTAATACAAAAGATATATGAATTCATTTAAATTTATTGTTGCAATGTTATAAAATAAGTTTGTACTGTAGATATGATTTTGTACCTGTTTAACAGGAAGTATAATACTGGTCTTGGTATTAAAACATTTTAACTAAGTTATAAAATATCAAATTAAACTATTGATGATTGATATATAGTAAAGATGCAATGTGAAAATTAAAATTGTAAAAAAATTTATCCTTATTTTAAAATATAAAATAGATTATCTATCTATTATACTACTAACTATTATAAAATTAATTTTGAATTACTCACGCGACTTGGAATGCCTCTATGATCGGTACTTTTTTGATAGAATCTTCTCACGTACCCTTTGATATAGCCAATTACTTTTCTTTCATATGGAAAATCAGCCTTCCATATTAAAGAGCCATAGCCAAATACCCACATATTTTTTTCTTGTTTACTAAAGAAAGTAAGGAAATAGAAGAGTTTGTAATATAAATAATTTATTTAAAAAAGATTAAATACACTATTATAAGAAAAGAAAATGACAATATTATATTTATATTTGCATGGTGCAAGCATGTAATGACTAGCAGGAAATGTCAGACAATATATTTTGTTCCTGTGGAAAGAAAGTTGTTGAGTAACTTTGTTGATTGTAAGACAAGATATGGGGAAGGGGAGGCAGACATCAAGTTACACATGAAATAAATAAAAAAGCTTGCTGAAATACGAGTGTGCTATTTGAGACCGTTCATCATTTTATTATGTTTGAAATAAAATTAGTTGGTACATAAAATTTGCACATGCAACTGAAAATATTCAAAGTCGAATTTGCGTTATGTTGATTCTCATGAAAATATGCATATATATTTAATAAACTACATGCCTTTATTCAATAGTTCTAAAGTCATTGTACATATCTGCATGCATGCATACACACACTCTCGCGCGTACGCGCGCGCACAGATTTCCAGGCAAATGCGTACACGACTGATA